TGAACCGGCTGCGGGTCCATAACAAGGAGGTTCTGTACGATTTGGTCGAGCGGCGCCAGCCCGGCACCCCCCTCATCACCGTGTCCAACCACCAGTCCTGCATGGATGACCCCCACCTCTGGGGTAGGTGCTGGGTGCAGGGGGCCCCATCTCTGGGGGGACCCCTGGAGAGTGTGGCTGGGAGGGGGATTTTGCATTCTAGGGGCAGGGGGGGCAGAGACCCTTTTGTCAGGGGTGGGGGGCTGGTTCTCGGTGTTATTCCTGCTTCCCCCGGAGCAGCCCGTGGAGAGAACAGACCCCTCCCCCACGTCAGTTATCTCCCTCGGGGGGGGGGGTCTGGCTGAGATTCCCCCAGTAATTGTTCTCCTCTGCCCCCAATTTCCAGGTATATTGAAGCTTCGGCACGTCTGGAACGTGAAGAAGATGCGCTGGTGAGTGGGGGGCTGTATGAGGGGAGTTTGTGGGGAACCCCTCCCCATCAATCCTCCCCATAACCTCCCTGAAGGGGCCCTCACCCACTACATCGGGGGCCCACATTGTGCTGGAGGGTCCGAGGCAGGCCGGCCTACAGGGGTTCCCCACCCCGCTGCCCTCTGTCCAGTGGGGGAGGGGCCAGCAGTGCTGCGGGGGGATTGTGGTTCCCCCCCCCCATTTATGTGTTATCTGCGCCCTCCTCAGGACCCCCACGGCCGCTGACATCTGCTTCACCCGAGAGTTGCACTCGCGCTTCTTCAGCCTGGGCCAGTGCGTCCCCGTGTGCCGAGGTGAGGGTGGCAGGCGGAGGGGCTGGCCTGGGGGGGCACATGGGGCTGGGCCAGGGGAGTTGGGAGATACATGTGGGAGAGAGGACTTGGGGGGAGGGATAGCTCAGTGGTTTGAGCATTGGCCTGTTAAACCCAGGGTTATGAGTTCAGTCCTTGAGGGGGCCACTTAGGGATCTGGGGCAAAATCAGAACTTGGTCCTGCTAGTGAAGGCAGGGGGTTGGACTCGATGACCTTTCAAGGTCCCTTCCAGTTCTAGGAGATAGGATATCTCCATTAATTTATTTATCTTATTTAGACTGGGCTAGGGGGAGAGGGGGATATGGGGGGGGGTGGCTGGGGTCACATGGGACGCTGAGGCACCCGGGGGCAGGAGTTGGAGCGGAAGAGGCTGAAGGGAAAATGCGGGGGTCAGGGGGCTGTGGCAGGGGCCGGCGCAGGGTTGGGGGACCGGCTGAGGGGGACCTGTGGGCCAGGGGCTAATGGCACTGCCCCCCC